CTGGCAGGTCTCACTCATGAGAGACGCCAAGGAGGGGCTAAGAAGACTCCAAGAGTCCAAGATCCGTCTCGTTTTGCAGATCCGCAAAGACGCTCTCGTGAGGCTCCGGGACTTTCCATGAGCAGGGAAACCGATTGAAGAGGTCGGCGAATCCGTACTTGAGAAGCTTGCGTCTCTCTAAAGCGTCGTAAAACTTCTCGTCGAACTGCGGTGGCGTAGGTCCTGTGTGATGCGCGAGGACGCCATTTGGCAGAGGCTTGCCGTCGGGGCCCAGGGCTTGGGTAGAGCCGCTCGTAGAGTCACCTGGCGTGCCAGCAGAAGCGGCAGCGGCCGCTGCTGCTGCTGCTGCCGCTGCAGCCGGCCCACTCTTTTTTTTCTTCGGAGCCAAGCTGCGCTTGATGATCTGCTGCCGCTTGTGCCAATGTGCTTCCAGCTCTCTTTCTTGTGTGCCTAAGAAGCTCGTGTACTGCTGATGCGCCATCCTGAGCTTGCCAATTTCGTGTAGACGCTCACGGCGAGCTTTGTTGATGCCCTGTTGAGCAGTCAGTCTGCGCTGAACGTCTCGCAAGGCTGAAGAGATCTCGTCATCCTTCCGCTCCGCCCAATCAGTCTGTGTGTCATAGCAAATCAGGGTGTTCTGTCAATGAGCGACGTTCGACCTGGGTCGATCCGCATTCATGCTCTCATCCCACTCACAGGTTCAGGATCGATTGCGTCGAGCAGCCTTAGCTCACCCTTGAGGCGCTCTTCAAATTCCCTCGTATCTTGTGGCGGAGCACTTGGAGGTGCAGTATATCCATTTACTCCATTCGACCGTGCGAGGGATGCAGGATCGTGCGTCGGAGGACTCTTCCGTTTGCCGTCGGCGCGAGTAGCATATCGATCGAGGGGAGTACTGGATAGGCCACCTGTACCGGATGGACCGGAAGTAGAAGACGTAGCAGCGTATGCATCCCTCGTATTTGTGAGGAGACTGGTATCTTGGGGTGCTCCTGGCCGTAGAGCCGAAGGACGTTTAACGGGCAACAGCGCAGAAAGCACACGCTCCGCCAACGGCCCCACCCGTGCATCTTCATTTGAAACGCCAATTGCATGCTCGTCACGTAGAGAGCGAGGTTGGAAGTTGGGGGGTGGTGGAATTGCGAGTGAATCATTCGGCTTGTTCTCCGCATCCATGCTTCCATTAATTGCAGTCGATTCGCCAGAGTCCTGTTCTGCCCACACTTCGTTGTAAGGCCTACCAAGGGGCGGGAATTGAAACAGAGCTTCATCGGCAAGCGTTGGTGACTGTTGGAGTCGATGGTCCACGTTGGCAGAGGTCAGCCGACACCGTCAATGTAATGACCGTTCAACGATACTTACCTTCGGGGCGAGCCACGCAAGGTCGTCCTCAGTGATGGTGCGAAACCAGGTGTCGGCGTAAGCCTGGAAGATGTTGTGAGGCGTTTGTTCTCCTCGCTTGTCTTTAGCTCTACTGATGGCCGTCGAAGGGCCAGGACCGCCTTCTTGGTAAGCTTCGAGTCTATCTCTTTCTCTCTCTCGCTCCTTCCAATCTTGAGCGGAGAAGTCCATCGTCACTTCGACTGGACGCGTAGGATAGGGGCGCACGGTTTTTGGTGCCCGCGCTTTCGGCACTTCGAATGTCGTCTTCGGCAGCTCCCACATAGCAGCGGGCTGAAGCGGTCCAGCTATGCCATTCGCTTGTCGGGTTCCAAGACGAGTGACTGCTTGGGACGAGGATGGCTGCACGATCTAGGGAGATGTCAGCAAGACAGATACAATGAATGCATTGCTGAGACTTACAGCTTTGCGTGGCGCTGGGTTGAGCTTCAACTTGATGTTCAAAGGCGTGCCTGAGAGCGAGAATCGATCACGAGATTGTTGCTGTCCGGACGAGATGTGCGAGCCTCGTCTACTAGCCGCAGCGCTGCCTTGGGACCCAGTACTCGCGTCAGGAGCCAGCAGCCCTGGATGTGCTGCAGCGACAGCTGTGCTAGCTGTGGCTTTTGCCGAAGGAGATTGGGTGTCGCTGTGGTCCGAGAGGTCGGAGTCTGAATCGACGTTGGTTCTCTCACGCTTCCGTTTACGTTTGTTACTTCCGTACGTCCGTCCAGGCCTCGAGGGACCAGCATCGTCGTCTCCATCCCACTCAGCTGTGCCTGAGCGTGCTCGCGCAGGTGCACCTGAGCTGCCACCCGAGCGTGCCCCTTGCAGAAGAGCAGGTGCAAGAGGAGCT